GTCTGCATTGCTGGCTGCGGGGGGAGGGGCCGTGGGCTCGGACACAGCGCTCAGCGCTTTCTTCCCGAGCCGTGCCATTCTCCACACCGCGCAGGGGCCTGCGGGGGCGGGCGTGGGAGGGGGCGGGTCCCCGCTGCCCTGTCCGCGGAGCCTGGGGTGATCCGTGGGAGGGATGGAATCGTGGGGTCGGTTAACCAATAAGCACCCGCTTTCCAGTGAACGCTCTCGACTACACCCCACAGCCCCCGCCCTGCAATTACACGTTCTAGTCGGCTCCCTCCAGTCCCAGCAACTGCCCCCGCTGCTGCAGGAGCCATGCCTGGCTCTCCCCGCTGCCGTGTGCGTGCCGGCACGGCGGAGGTGCAGCGCTGACCCTTCTCGCTTCAGCGCGTCGTCGACAGAATTCTTGTTGACTTTGCGATTGACGAGTGACGTGCTTCTTAACGGCCCCAGTACGAGGTGGGGAGACCGTGGCCGAAGGCGGCTGCACTTGCGGCTCCCCGCGCTTGAAGCCAGCCCTCTGCCTCCCACTGCTGGCGTGGGAGGGAGCGGAGTGGCCACCCGCACTTTCTGATTAAGCAGAAATCCAGACACAGCCTGTTGCGGCTCAGCGGAGGGATGCAATCGCCGCCTTGCCCCCGCGCTGGGAGAGGTGGACGTGGCCAGCTGGGAGCCGGGAGGCTCCTCGGTTCACACATCCAAGTGACAGCGGCTGGTCCCTACGAAGCTGCCTCCTCCGCCTGCGCCCTTGGCTTTAATGAACCTCCTGCCCTGGGCTGCATGGCAAGCAGCGCCCTCTCCCGAGTCCCCGTGGCTGCTTCCAGGCACCTTCCTGCGGAGCTCCCGCTTTTGGGGGGGGCTCTTCTGCAGGGCCTGGTTCCTTGGTTTAAACAGCACCCCCGCCAGGCTGCCCCCTGCCGGCGCCGCGGCTCAGGCCCACCGGTAGCAGGTGTGAGGCGATGGGTCGCTTTCCCCTTTGAGACTGATCCGGAGACTCCGGTTCCCCCCTCCCCCCGCCGTATGGGTGCGGTACGTTCCCTCCCCTTCACTCCCAGTCCCACGGGCAGGAGGGGCAAGCCAGGTGCCCCGTCTGCCTGGGGCAGTGAGGCTGCGTGGCCGGGCCCTTGTGCTCGCTGTGCCCCAAACCGCTTTCCTTCCCCCAAACCTTTGGGACCCGCGGGGGGTGAGAAGCTGAAACCCGACTGGCCCTGTTCACCGGGGGACCAAAATACCCAACCCTCCGGCAGCCCCTTCGGAGTCCCTGTACTACCTGCTCCCCCGCTCCGGCCTGTCAGCAACAGGCTGTCTGCCTGCCGGAGAGCCTGGAACCCGGTGGGGCTTGGGCTCCAGGGTGTTGAGACAGCCCTGCAAAAGCTCCCTCCGGGAGAGTTTCTGGCGGGCTGGCTCCCTGGGCGCTGCCGGGGGAGCGGGGAGCTGTGGTGGGGAGCAGTAGCTCTTTGGAGTCGGCAGGTTCTAGTCCTGGAACTCAGCAAGTTTCATTTTCCAGAGCAATTCTTTGCTGACTAGCGTCCTGCTCGGGGTGGCTGGGCATGCAGCTTCCTTGGATCACTAAGTGGACGTGCTGGGGGTGACGTGCAGCCAGGCCTCACCCCGCTGGCACAGCTCCCAGGAGGGGAGACGCTGTTACTGGCTGAGCAGGCAAAGCGCTAGAGAGACCAGGCGGGCGGGGTGATGGCCGGGGACCCCTGCGGCTGCCCAGGAAAGCTACCGACAGCCGGCCGTGGAGCTTGCGAGCACTGCTGAGGGTGGAGACGGAACGGCCTGCGAGGGGAAATGGCAGGGGCCGGAGCCAGTGGGGCCAGGACACAGAGAGCTGCCCCAGGAGGGGGGTCGACTCTGGCTGAGGCCTGGGGGAAGAGGGAGCAGCCCGCTCACCTGAGGCTGGGGGAGCAGCAGGGGGCTGAGGGCGGGGGCTGCCTGGCGGGGAGCCCGATCACAGGGCTGGTGCAGGGCCTCATTAGCTCTCCCGAGGAGCGCGCAGGGCCCCGCTCTCCGGCACGGCCTGACATTTAACAGCACCAATTAACATTCACGTCCATGACTCAGCAAACTGCTTCCTAATCACCCCACCCCCGCCACATGGAGGGGGGGCAGGCTGCTCTCTGACACCTTGGCTGCTTGCGGGTGGGAAGGCCCTTCCTTCGCCCAGAACGTGGGGCCCAAGGGTCTGGGTTCCACTGGGACCTGCCGTCGGGGTCGCGTGAGAGCCCCGGGCAGGGTGGGCGGCCTTGCTTGGCTCGCCGGGGGGGGGACACAGCATCCCTGGTCAGCCAGAGCCTTGTGCTCTGCGTGCGAGACCCTGGCCGGGACGGCGTTTGCCGTGGCTGGTGTGCGAGCGCCGGGGGCGGGCCCTGTGTTTCGCTAGCCCAGACCGCCACAGGGGAGGGGCCGAGCGCTAAATAGGTCTCAGCCTGAACTCCCCTTTCCTGTGTGGGCGGGGGCGGAATTGGGGTGCGCTGCTTTGGGCCCCAGGGCTGTCGATCCAGCCCCTTTCCCCGCTGTCAGGAGAATGGGACTAGCCCAGGCACCCGATTAAGGGTGCAGGCCTGGGGGAGCACGGGGCTGAGCAGGGCCGAGAGCTTGGGGGGGCAGTGGCCAGACCAGGCCTGAGGGGAAGGGAGTCTGGCTGCCCTCCCTGGGGATCCAGCGTAGTCACCCCTCTGCCAGCTTCCCCCGCGGGTGCTTCCCTTCTGTACCGATTCCCAAGGGGGCTACTGAGCATTTGGAGCCCGGGGCAGGGGCCTTCTGCGTCCGTCGGTTCCTGGGGCTGCTCATCCGGGGTCCTGTTGTCTCTGCAGAGTTACCGGGACCTGGCCTTGGTGAGCCGCGACGGCATGAACATCGTCCTCAGCAAGATCAACCAGATTCTCATGGAGAAGTACTTGAAGCTGCAGGACGTCTGCCGGACGCAGGTGAGGGGGCCGCCGCGGAGCGGAGCCTGACAGCAGGGAGGGGGCTGCAGCCCGAGGGGACGGGGACCCCGCGCCCGGGGGGGGCTGAGGCAGCAACCCCACGCGGCTGCTGACTCCCTCAGATGCCACCTGCTGCCCCTGGGGTAGGGCTGGGCTGGACCTGCGCTGCGGGGGCGGAGTGGGGCGTGGCAGCCAAGTCCCCTCTCACGCTGGCCCTGCCCTGCTCTAGCTGGTGTGGCTGCTGCGGGAGCTGGTGAAGAGCGGCGTGCTCGGGGCGGATGGCGTCTGCATGACCTTCATGAAGCAGATCGCAGGTGAGGCCGCCCTGGCTCGGTTCCTGCAGCAGGAGAGACCGGCCCCCGTCCTG